TTCTAGACCGGGTTCTAGACCGGGTTCTAGACCGGGTTCTAGATCAGGTTCTAGACTGGGTTCTAGAGGTTCTAGATCGGGTTCTAGAGGTTCTAGAGCAGGTTCTAGATCGGGTTCTAGATTGGTTCTAGACTCGGTTCTGGACTCGGTTCTAGACTCGGGTTCTTTAGGCTCTAGACTCAGGGTTTTGGGGTCTTCGGTTCTGTTTTTTAGGTTTTAGGCGCAGCATTCTGGGGTTTTGGCTCTGATTTTTGGGCTTCTCATCTGAAATTTTTGAGGTTTCAGGCCCAAATTTTTGGCGTTCCTACCCCTAACCCTTCTCATCCCAAATTTTTGGGGTTGTCATTTTAAATTTTTGGGGTCCCAGGCCCAAATTTTTGGTGTTCTCAGCCCAGTTTTTTGGGGTTCCCATCCCAGATTTTGGGGTCCCAGGGGGGTTTCCCCCCCCGGCTGAGCCCCCCTCGCCCCCCAGGTGTTCAGCACTTACTCCAACGAGGATTACGACCGCCGCAATGAGGACGTGGATCCCATGGCGGCCTCGGCCGAGTACGAGCTGGAGAAGAGGGTGGAGAGGCTCGACCTGTTCCCCGTGGAGCTGGAGAAAGGTGGGTCCTGCCCCCCCAAAGCGCCCCCCCGGGACCCCCAGGGCGCCCTGCAGGTGCCAGCCGGGCAGGACACGGCTGTGTGTGTCCCCGCAGACTCGGAAGGGCTCGGGATCAGCATCATCGGGATGGGCGCGGGGGCCGACATGGGCCTGGAGAAGTTGGGAATCTTCGTCAAGACGGTGACGGAAGGAGGGGCGGCGCACCGGGACGGCAGGTAGGGCCGGGAGCTGCCGGCTGCCGCCGCCCTGCCGGGGCTGGCCAGGGGCTGTGACCTGTCCTTGTCCCCAGGATCCAGGTGAACGACCTGATCGTGGAGGTGGACGGCACCAGCCTGGTGGGGGTCACGCAGAGCTTCGCCGCCTCCGTGCTCAGGAACACCAAGGGCCGCGTCCGGTAGGAGCCCCCAGACCCCCGGGACCCCCCCAGTGCGTGCTGAGCGCCCTGGGGATCCCTGCCCCACGGCCTGTCCCCTCAGCCTGTCCCCAGAGCGCCCCA